TTTTTTTTAAGTTATATCTGTCATGAGGAATTAGGAACTTTGAAAGGGTCATGGATATGAAGAAAAGGATATACCTGAAAATTCAAAAAGAAAACTAAAGAGGTTACAGATATAACACATAATAACTGCCTTGGTTTATCCCCTTGGAGTCCAAGGGATCCCCTTTGCCAGTAAAAACAAAGCAAAACAAAAAATGTTCATCTGATATATTTTTGAAGACTTAGAGCAGGTATCAATTTGACAATCTGTCTATCTGGGATTAGACTGTCAGAAAGTTCATATTCCCTCTTCAGTCTCTACCATCACTGTATCTATCCTCCTGTTCATCATCATCTACTTTAATTCTTAGAAAGAACGTAACCAATTTCAGGGTTTGACATCTTTGTATTTCTCATGGGTTTAATGGAGTTGGTGTACAGTTAATAAGCTTCTGCTATATGGCAATCTTGAACATTCTTGAGTGTAATATAGGGTATAGGAAAGTCCCTACTCATGAAGTGTTTTGGATGTAGAACATGCAGTTCAAAAGAAGAGGAAGCCTTCATGGATAGGAAGAATCTGCGTGATTGATGGAAGGGTCTTGTTCATTTTCTCTGTCAGATTTTTGCTCCCTCCCTGCAGGTGAAGATGAGACAAGTTTGTCCCCTAGGCCAGCTGGAGACCTGCATCTCTGCCCCAGCTTCCGGCCCCAGTGCTCCTTGGTCATCCTCTTTGTATCTGTCAAATACTGATGGAGGAGATCACTGTGCATTGGTAACTGGGTCCTTGCCAGTTTGGTCTTTGTTTTAAATGCCATCTGGGCCCTGAGTATAGTATCTGGCCTGTGAGGTGTAGGTCCAAACCACGTCCTCAACACTCACATTCCCAATTCCATCCCCATCTCCTTTATTCCTAGAAGATAAACATTACCCTGGTCCTCCACCGAGATCAGTATCACTCAGTTTTCACCCTTTTTCCATGTTAAACAATTCATATTACCACCTATATTCCAAAATAGGGTGTCTCCTATTCACCCATCTTTCTTTTTCTCCCTATCTTAGAACAAGTTATGTATGGATATACCTTCTGGGCTCTTGGCATCATGTCTCTTGGCCATATGTACTCTTTCCAGTCTTCAGTTTCTCTCTTTCCACTGGGTTGTTTCCTCTTCCACAGATATGTGAGAGCCTTTCTTTTTTATGACAAGCCAAATGAACACAAAATCTTTGTATTAATCCTGCTGTTTATTTAGACTATATCCCATTACATCAACTGGGCCAGCCCTTATAATCCATCCATTTAACCTTCCAACCAACCACCCCAGTCTCCTTCTCTTCCTCCCTTTATCCAACGTTAACTGAATGCTTACTGTGACCTTTTTTTTTTTTTTTGAGTTGGAGTCTCACTCTGTCTCCTAAGCTGGAAGGCAGTGGCATGCTCACGGCCACCCCAGCGTCGACCTCCTGGGCTCAGGCAGTCCTTCCATCTCAGCCTTTTAAGTAGTTGGAACTACAGACGCACATCACCATGCCCTGCTAATTTTTTTTTTCAGTTGTAGAGATGAGGTCTCACCAAGTTGCCCAGGGTGTTCTCGAACCCGTGGGTTCAGACATCCCCTCACCTCAGCCTCCCAAAGTGCTGGGATTACAGCCTTGTGACACCGTGCCCAGTCAACCTTATTTTTTATACATTAGAAAACTGAGCCCCAAAGAATTGAAATAACCAACCAAGGTTACATAGCCCAGCACCTAGTTTAAAGGGTTTTTGCCTTTAAAGTAAATAATAGGGTCCCTGTTGACTTCTTAAATGCAAACCCAGTTGACCTATATAATTCTTGGGTTGGAGCATGAGTAGGAAAAAAGCACTACAGAGATTATGTTTTTAAGACTACAAAATGTATTAATTTATATTTTAATTTTTTTTGATGGTCTGTCAGATTAAACACTGTTTAGTTCCACTGTGGCAGGCCCTCTAAGCTACTAGCATGTCCAAGAACTACTTTTAAAATCTAAATTTGTTTATGAGAGCTTTGCTGTTTACATTGTAGACGTGCACCGGGGAAAAGAATTCAAAGTGACACCAAATACATGTGCATTAAGTAACACCATCTGCCCATTTGGATCTGTGCAGCTCTTTTAAAATACATGAGGTGCTCACCCAAAGCCTGACATGCTTCAGGAATAGGAAAAGATTGTTATGCTAAGATGCCAAATGGGGAGACTTGATTTAAAGTTTCAGAAGTCTTCTTGTTCTTCCCTTCTTTCTTTCCTAGTTGTTTGTTTAGTACATATTAGAAGGGCAGGGGCCCTTTTTTATACTAGTGTCCCCTGTTCATGGCAAATATCCTTCTATATGCTTGTGTCCCTGCACACGGCAGAGTATTACTATTGCTGTGATATGACAGGCCTGAGAAGACCCCCCCAAACAGCTGCATGAATAACCCAGTCTTTACTGAGGTCTGTTATTACTACTTTAGAAAAACCAGGTAGGCACAGGTAGGGGTGGTAGGTACACTTAAAGCCCAGACTTCTTGCCACTATACAATGCAACCATGTAGCCAAAAACTATTTGTACCCCCTTAAGCTATTGAAATACATACATACATACTTACATACATACCAGGTGGAAGGTCTCTAATGCAAATGTCAATAATGAATAATCTGGTCCTGTTTGGTAGACTACTTCTTGATCAGTTTTTATAGCTAAGAAAGCACAGAGGGACAGTGAGGGCACTTGGAAGTAAAGATTTGAAAGGGGAAATGATAGTCTACATCTGCCAATATTTGTTTATACAAAGCAAAGAAGTTATAGAAAAAGGTCTTGTTATAGGGCCTTGGTAAGATTAGTGGCAGAGAGCAGAAGCTGCATGCTAAGGGACTATTTAATTAGCTATGTGACTTTGGGCACGTCATTATACTCTGATGGATAGTCCTCATTTCTTACCTGTAAATTAACTCTGTATATAGTCTTTTAAGGTCCCTTTTAGTGCTAACATGCTATGGTTCTGCTAGAGGAACTAAGAAATTTGAAGAATCCCGAGGTATTTTTGTGTGATGGTTACGGGCATGCCAGGAGCAACCGGTGAAAGGCATTTTGCATCTGTAATGGCAAAGTCCACGTCTTTGTAATCTTGGAGTACAGCTCTTGAATTGTGTGGATCACTTAGTACTATGTGATGGAATGAGTGAACCAAGGCCTGGCAGGTGCCTCGGCAGCCCAATATAGAAAGCAGAGCAAAGAGTGGGGGCAGAGAAGACTTTCCTCCCCTTGTGACTGAGAGCTATTGCTGGTTCTATGACCAGTGTTTGGGATCTTTCAGAGTCTTCTTTTTCTTCTAATAAATTTAGGCAAAACCATAAATCTTTCAAGCTTTGTTGAGTGGTCAGGGCTGTATGGTGAGCAATACCCTTTGGCACAGTGATTTCTAGGACTTTCCACCAACAACCTAGTAACAGACAAGATGCTTTACTAACTTGAATTGTAGACTGGCACAAAGAAGCTTCCTTCATGGCAGTGTGTGGGTTTTCTTCCTTCTTCAAACAAAATCTCATATTTCTAGTTATTCTAAATGTTGCAGACTAGCCTTGTCCCTTCTTAACTTTCATAGTATATTCTTCCCACTTTGCCAGAGAAATTACTGGAATGTTTTGACATGTGATGATTCATATATATATTGAGCATCCAAAATCTGAAAATCCAAAATCTGAAATTTTTTGAGTGCCAGATTTTTGGATTAGGGATGCTCAACCAGTATAATACAAATATTCCAAAATTCAAAAAAGTTAGAAATTCAAAACATTTCTGGTCCCAGGCATTTCAGATACTTAACCTGTAGTCAGAAGAAGCAACTCCTTGGAATTAAGTCACAGTGTCCTATTATAGGATTGGAAACATCTCATCTGATTGACACTTCCTTCTGGTCACCAGTACATGTTCTTTATAACTTTTTAGAAATCTTTAATGGACCAAAAGAGAGAAAACACCAGTTTTTAAATAATGGCCCAAAGTTCATTCCAGAATAGATAATGAGATCTTGTTGTTATGAAATAAGTAAGGATAAAGGTAATTAATTCTGTGTTAATTGCACATTTCATATTATAAAAATGTAGCTATCCTATGAGACTTTGGGATATAGTTGATTTTTAAATTTCTCCTGTGGAATGGTATGGAATGGCTTAAGGAACAAATTCCAAATCAAACAAGAAGAGAAAAGGGTGTGAGCGAGAGCAACTTTGAAAAGTGATGGAGATGTGTTTACTCTGGAAGCAGGGGGCCAGATGGGAGGGGTTGGGGGCAGCCCTTGCTCTTCAGATGCTGGGGAAGTCCTGACTTCACTTTAGTCATGTGCGTATCATTGTTCTTTCCTTTATCAGTGAAAGCTGTTTCTTTTCTTTTTTGGAATTCAACTCGTGTACTAGGAAACATTAATAGTGTGCAACAGATGCTTATGTCTATAAAGCACATCTCCAGTGAGATAATATCTCAGCAGTTGGGTGCTGTCCATATAGGAAATAGGGTACCTCTCATTCTTTTGTTCTGTGAAACCAGCATTTTCTTAAGGAGGTCTTATTTTTTTTTTTTTTAAAGAATTTTTCTCTTAATTTTAGATGGGAATGCCTTAATCAGAATTTAGGGTACCAAGAACTGGAATATTTCATAAGCCATAACTTAAAAATTGGCCTATTTATATATATTTCTGGAGTTCTCTTTCAGCTGTGGTGATTTTGTTATTTGAATATTATATTAATTTGGAGAAAAATACTATTGAACCATTCTTGTCCATGATTGTAGTTATAGATTTTTTGAAACCAGTATTAAACAAAGAAAACCACACTGAGAATTTTAAATGCTATTGATGTTTTAAAGATCTTTAATATTTAGAATAAACAATATTTTAAAAAAAGTAATTGAGCATTTAAGGTGAATAGGGTTAGTAAATGTGACGTGTTTTATGGGCACATGTACAGAAATCATAAACAGTAACAAAGACCATAAACTTGCATATTCTTTTTCTGTTCTAGATATTTGAATGGTGGTATTTTCGCAAGTATGGAACTTCATTCATTGAACAAGTCTCAGTGAGCCACTTGCGCCCCCTTCTGGGAGGGGTTGACAACAACTCTTCCAACAATTCTAATTCCAGCAATGGAGACTCAGATTCCAACAGGCAAAGTGTTTCAGGTATGGAAAGTCCTTCAGTTTGCAGCATTATCTGCTTACTCTTACTAAATTATTATTGTTACTCTTACTAAAGTATTAGGAACATAAGACATTAATAATATTGTCATTTACAAATTAGGCTTCAGAGAAAAATGCAGTTTATCTTCCCAGGGAGTTGACAACCTGTATCAGAGAAATAGTGTAGAAGCATCCCAAGAAAAGGAAATGCTTTTCTTGTTCATTTTACTTTTTCTCTCATTTGATTTAGCTAATAGTCATTTAGGTCATTGTTCCCAACCTGAGGGAACAATGCTTGTTCCTTGTCCATAGTTTCTCAAACCTCATTGAATGGGTTCATTTTATTCCATGATAATTGCAGAATCTTAAGTCTAGACAGATCTGATCATACCACTCCTCTGCTTAAAAATTCATCACTGGTTCCCATTCCATAGAAGATGAAGCCCAGATTCCTTTGCACAGCGTAAGCTACTTGCTAACTTTGGCTTCTGTCACAATCTAGTCCCTTTCCTATGGGTTTAGTTTCCTAGCCACCTGATGCTACTTTTCATTTCCTGAGCATGCCTTGTTTCCCCTGACACTATCCCTAGAAGTCTATTTCCCTTTTTCCTTTATTCATCCATCACTACCCAATTCAAATGTCCCCTCTGGGAGGCCCTTTCTAATAGGTTGTACACTATCTCTCTCCTTTCATTGGTCCTTAATATTTTTACCTTTAGAAAAGCTTATCAACTGCTTTGTAATTCTTAAGGTAATTCTTTATGGGAGTATCTCTAGAATCTTGCAGTGTCTACTCTTTCTTTGAAACTCAATGAATGAATGCATGAGTGCATGCAAGCCCTGTACTTTCCCTCTTATAAAACAAGAGGGAAGAATATAATTTCCTAACTCAACCTCTTTGTCAACTCAGTCAACATTTCCTAAGTGTCTGTTGTGAACCTGGTCTTGTACGGGTTATTATGAATATTATGATTTTGTAACAACTCAAAGTTCTTGTCCCCATGGAACTCTCTGTCTTCTGAAGGAGACAAGGTGATAAGTATATGAGGGTGACATTCAATGCTATGGAAAACGCGGGAAGAGTTCCTGACCCAAACTGAGAAAGGGGTTTGTCCCTTGAAGGAAAAAGCACCAGTTCTGAGACTTGAAGGATGAAGAGGAAGAAATTAAAAGTGCTGGGTTAGATGTTTTTTCTTCTCTAGAAAAACTCATTCAAATTTCATAAATGTTTATCCAGGCTATAAGCTTCATACTTTGTTCCTGATGTTGAATCAATGCTCTTTTTTAACAGATCCTTTGCCTGCCAGCCATGAGTGGTACTGGGCAGCTCTTGTACACATTTATTTTATCCTAAAGGGGCCATGAGGTGGCCACCCAGGTAATGAAATGGCCTGGGACTTTGTAAACTCATTCACTTTGTGAAAGAAAAGAGACCTGTGCAAAGCAAAGCATTGCCTTAATCAGTTACTCTAATAAATGTGGTTTGTTATGCTAATGAGGAATCTTGATCATTCAGTCATGAAGCGTGAGCGGTTGTGGATAATTATCTACACTTTGCATCTGCTGTGAATACCCACAGATTAAATGTGCTCTTGTCTGACTTGAGTAACTATACAGTCTTTGAATGACACAGAAATTAACAGATTGAAAACAGAAGGCATCCTCATTTGAGACCATTTTTTATATCGAATACATTTTTATTTTCATTAAAGTCCCCCTTCTCTCTCTACTCAATTTAAATCTCTTGACATCATTTCTTAATGCAGCAAAGAGCTCATACTCTTCTTATTGTCACTATTATTTTGCTGTCTTTCTTAGTGGATACCTTGATTAAGCCTTGTTCGTTATATGAATATGGATGCTATTCTTAGTGCTATAACAACATATTTGTAAGGGAGAACTTAAGCTTTTTCTTAAAAAAATTCAATAATAACCATGGAAATTGTTTTATTTGTATTAAGTTTTTACTTAGCTAAGACTGAATTTTTAAAATGTTACTGTTAATTCAATTCCATTAGTGTTTCCTGAGTGCCCACTATGCATTCTATATTTCCTTCCATTTCCTATAAAATAGATGCAGCATTTATGATGTGATCTCTTAGCAATGTTCAGATAGTTATGTTTAGAAAGAGGGAAATTACGTTGTCTAAGATATTTAGAGTCAATCTGCCTACTTCTCCTTGACATTTGGGCTTTTAATATTTGGCTAACTCAGCTAAACGAACATGCATACTAGTATGGAAGTACCAGATAGTATACGACTAAGACCATTTGCTGTTTCTCTTTTCTTCTAGTGATTTTTATTTTTGAATAAGAAAAATACTACAAAAGTGCATTGTTTGCATTTATCTCTACCCTTAAACACTTTCTATTTCATAGTCTAGTTTCAACTAAGTATAAAGAAAAATTAAAAGTCCAAAGCTGAGAGTAATCAGTATATTTCCTTAAAAGTAGATTTGTTTAAAAATCCCAATGGCTTTATATTAATAAAATGAATATTGCCTTAAGAACAGAAGGGTGAATTTATTGATTTCTTGGAGCATCATAAGACAGCCCTTTGTTGAACTTACACGAAATATAAGGTGGTGAGCTTTAGCCCTCCCCTAACTTGGGGAGGTGAATCTCTTCTAATTTTTAAATAAACGATATTCCCCAATCTAAAATATATATATATATAAAGTCCCATGGACATTGGCAATGGCTTTGAAAATCATTGAAAAAGCTAAAAATAAATTGGGAATATCAGTTATAAGTATTGGTCTACATGAAAACTCAGTGTAACTCTTTCCTTAGAGAATCATTTATTTTGACTAAAAGTTGAAAAACCTGGCCTACCTCAGAATGAATTGGGATGGGGGTGGTAGAGTGAGGAGTGAGAAAGGTTGTTATTGTTACAGGGTCGAATGTGCATGTATTTTTAAACTTTTGGATTTATGCAAAGTGGCCTGAATGCAGACTTGCTCAAAATTTGCATTGATCTTTATCTGTGGGCTATTGGAGAAATGTAGTTAATTATACAGCTTCTTACTTTAGCTGATCTTCATCTTGTTTGGCTGAAGTTAACATTTATGAGCATTCCACTTGTTTTGCTTTATTTGGGAGCTGAATTGCTATTTTTCTCCCAAATATACAGTGCTGGTAAACACTGTCATCTCACCATGTTTCTCGCTGTCATTTCTTAATTCAACTTAGTTTATGAGCTGATAACAAATAGGGATTTAAAATGTGACCAATTTCTCCCTGTCTTAAGCGAAGGGATTCTCAGGGCCCAGTAACAGTCTCAATTTGGGTTTATAGGAACATATTTGAAACTTTCCCTGTTCTCAAGTATGATGCCATAAAGACAAAAGTTTGCAGCATTTACCCTTTTCAAGATAATGAGGAAAGTATAGGGTGCTGTCACATTCAAAGTATCCTTGCCAAAGTCAAGTTTAAATTCTCTGAGATACTTTAACAGCCTCTTGAATAGAACTGGATCTTTAAACAAACTCTGGTATAGTCACTTGTCTTCCTATCACAGATCATCTCATTTTAATCTCACTTAAACTTCACAAGGTATGTGTGTATACATATAGATGTATATGTATATTCCAACTTCTAAATGATTTTATAGAAATATATATTATACATTAAAGTTAATTTTATGTAATCAATGTAAGCACTGATTGAATAAAGTTAATAAATGAAAGAAAAGCAGTGGAGGTGAAGAAACTCAGACAGAGTAAAAAAATATATATCCTAAGACCTTCGTAGATCCCAAATTTTCATAGCACCAGAACAAATAATTTTCTCCACAGAAAACCATATGGTTCCAATGATAATAACTGACACTCTTAGCAGTTGCTATCAGCATTACATGATGTTATCCCATGTAATCCTCACAGTAGCCCCGTGAAGCAGATACTATTATCATCTCCATTTTATAGCTAAGGAAGCTGAGGTATAGGAAGGTGAAGTCATCTGCCAAGGTCACATGTTAATAACCTGGGTAGTCTTACTTCACAATCTAGGTGCTGAAGCACTAATTTAAAATTTTAGTTGGCCTCATTCAGACCCTCTGTGAGGTCTGTAAAACCAAAATGTTCTCTCAGAACATTCATTTCTTCTGTAATACTTCTTCAGGTGGATGCCAGGTAGTGGTTCAATACCCTTTTCACTTTTCTACCAAGGCTCTAAGACATAAGCTGTTTACCCTTTTTTGTAACCCAGGGCCTAATTGGGGGATTAATGCATCATTAGCCACTCAATATGTGTTCAGACCACATGGTCCTTTGAGTGATGGGGTGGGCATTCTGGAGGAGTATTGGAGTATGAAAAAACATGAAATAGGTATGATTGTAATGGAAGTTTGCAGTAGGGAATGGTGAGAGGAAAGGCTGGAAAAAAAAAAGGCTGGAGCTTTCTTTTAGAAGTCCTTAAATTGTGGTAAGCATTGTAATTGTTAAGCAATTAAAATAATAATTTTATTAAAATTCTGTACTACAGAGGATGACATTTTTTCTGAAGTGACATTAACCTAACTTACTTTAGAAACATTTTATTGGTAGAGTTGCCAGTGGCTGAGAGCACAGTCTCCGGGATCAGCCAGATGTGGCCCTAATCTTGGCTCTATCACAGTTAGTATGTGATCTTAGGCAAGTCATTTAACTTTCCTAACTTTAGTATCTTAATCTGCAACCATGGGAGTAACAGTAGTATCTCCTGCATAGAGTCCTTTGAGAATTACATAGGTCATGCAGAAATACCAAGTCAGAGGGCAGTCACTTGGCAGTGTCCTCAGATAAACTGACTTCTCCATGAATGTGACTGGGGAGAATGGCACAGTTCCTTGGAGGTATGGCTGTGTATTCAGTCCGGCTTCCTCACTAGCTTAGCGACTCCTTTACGTCTATAGACCTTTCACTTTCACTTGAAATGGCTTGCATTTAAAACATATCTTTCAGCAAAATTGCAAATTGCTACATGTCAAGAACCTTTGGGGTTGCTCTCTAATACTCTCAATTAGGATAAACTCACCAAAATCAAATGAATGTATTTAAAGTGGTCCTCTTAGCCAGTGCTTATTACATCTTTTAAAAATCTTTTGCCACTAATATTTGTGCTCTCATACGGATTAGATCTCCAGATAAATGTCAATAATGCCTTAAATAATTTTAGTAGCTGATGAACACTTATTTAATAAATTATTTTACAATTCCACATTATTTGGTAGAGTTGAATGACTTCGGTCAGAAAGACCAGTGAGAACTGTATGACAGAGGCAATTAAAGATTTAACCATCTTGGCAATATTCTTGAAGATAGCAGTACATTATTTTGACTAGCAGGTCAATAAAAATGGTCTTAAAATTAATGTTTACTTATGCCTTTTGTCATTCTATAAAAGAATTTGAGGTAGTAGCGTATTTTCTGAGTAGAAACATAGCTATGTTTGTTTTTGTCATGGCTTCTAATCATTGTTCAAAATAAGGTTTTGAAAAGTTATGAAACAGTTAAAGCTTAATTAAGAAAATGGATATTTTTACTCAGAATGGTTGCTTAAATTTGACCTATATAATATAGAGAATTGAGTATTCGTTTCTGAGATATCAAAGTTAGTAAATACATGCAGACTCACATGTCAGAATTTGACTGGCTTGGGGTTAATCTTATAATACATCTAATGAAACTTTAGCTTGCTCCCTTTTCTGCTAGGTTTGGAATGGAAGTGTTTCAAAGTATTATTAAAATTTGCCTAAAATTTTTTTCAGAGGAGTTTTTGAAATTGTTTCTCTAGTGAAAATTTTAATTGATAGATTACATTAAATATATAGTTATATATTTTCAACATATGGTGTTGCAGAGTATAAAAGATTTGTTGCATGTAATGAGTAAGAGTCAGGCAGTGTGGATACCAGACCTTATTTCATTTACCATGGACCTTGGGGAAATTGACCTTTCTTTACTTTTTGCTTCTGTAAAAAAAGGCTTAATATATACTTCTAACTAATTTGTATAAGGAAAATAGATAACTTGTGTTTTATAACTCTATAGAGAGGATTAATGAAAACCAAGCCTATAGTTAGGACAACAGTCACTGCCATTCTTATCAGATTTAAATTCTGAGAAGAGGTAGTAACTTTTTAGTATAAGAAACCTTCCTAGGCTATGAATTAGCAATTTATACATTTTGAAAAAGTCCTATGACTAGGGATTTGCTATCATTGTTTTTTAATTAGAAAAGTTTTCAGAGTTAAGTTAGATGTAGAATGGTCTTTTCTTTCTGTGTGATTAAAACCTCGTGTCTTTAGAGCCTACTGGGTTTTCTGAGTTTTGAGTTCTCTTTTTCCTTGCACATTGGGACAAAGGGACAAGTCTGTGGTTCCCTCAGAACATTCATTTCTTCTATAGTGCTTCTTCAGGTGGATGCCAGGTAGTGGTTCAATACCCTTTTCACTTTTCTACCAAGGCTCTAAGACATAAGCTGTTTACCCTTTTTTGTAACCCAGGGCCTAATTGGGGGATTAATGCATCATTAGCCACTCAATATGTGTTCAGACCACATGGTCCTTTGAGTGATGGGGTAGGCATTCTGGAGGAGTATTGGAGTATGAAAAAACGTGAAATAGGTATGATTGTGATGGAAAGTTGCAGTAGAGAATGGTGAGAGGAAAGGCTGGAAAAAAAAAAGGCTGGAGCTTTCTTTTAGAAGTCCTTAAATTGTGGTAAGCATTGTTTTTTAGGGTCTTTGTCTCCCACACAGAAACTTGTAATCATCCCATGATGACAAAGGAGGGAATCCGTTCTGTGGACATTGGGAACTAAGCAAGTGCTATTTTAATATTTGCTGCTCCCCCTTTTCCTGGATTTTATTCATGTGTGCTGGGGCTGGAACATTTCTGTCAGCAGTTGTGGGTAGAGATTGCACTGTGGACTGCTGCAGATGGAACTGGAGAGAGATGGTCTTTGTTGTATTGGGGAAATATTTTTAACTAAATTATTAATGTTGTTAGCAAGTCCTTGATGGAGTCCCAGGCAACTTTTAGTGTTTTCCAAGGGCAATAAAATTGTTGATGTTAATGGAGAGTGGGAAATTACTTTGGAGGTAAAATTTTAAGTCTGATTTGAAATACGGAATATATTTCTTAAAGGAACAAATAAGAAACTCTTACCCTCTGGACATCTGAGATTTATTTCCTGACTTAAAACTTCATATTCTAATATGTTTGGCATTTTTGCCCTTTGTCCATATCACTAAACCATAGGCAGCCTATTATTTATGGGGTATGTTCCGTAGAGTGAGTCTTGACTAACAGAGTTTTTATAGCAAAGATAAGATTATGGAACAGAGTAGCAAAGAAAAAATAACATAGCAATAACCTAACTTAATAAAGAAAGCTTTGATCTATGTTCATATTTGACTTCTAGGTCGCTTGTTTCTTAAAAGAAAAGCATCCTGCCCTGCACCCTCAATTAAAAGGATATAACTAATGAAGACATTTCTTATGCACTTCTTTATTACATGTTTTATTCTCACTTAGAACAGTTTACATCTGTTACTTTTACTTAGATCCCTGTTTCTAAGTTTTGGGAATAGTTAAAAAATTGAATATAGCACACATATATGAAACCAATGCTAACAAGGATTTTTTTTTTTAAGTTCTTTAATAGAAATCATAAAAGCAATATTTCACAATGTGTGCTGTGACCCCTGCTGGCTATATTGTGGCATTTCCTAAAAAAGCATCTTTGGATGATGTTCAGTGTATACTTCAAGTATACACACTATTTCTCTTTTAAGCCATTTATATTAAGAAATAATATTAATTACATCTGATACAATAGGTTGAAATTTTAATTAAAGGCAGTTTTCTTTGTTGTTTGCCCACTGATATTTGAACAGTGCTTATCCTTCCAGGCAGTGTGTTAACGTATTTATTAAGACAAAATATTTGCCATAGCCTTTTTACTAATATTTTGGATGAAATTCAGTGGAGAAGAGACATTTCCTCAAATTTATTATTGTAAATAATTCTACTGGGAGCATCCTTGTACATAAATCTGTGTTCATTTATATTGTATGCTAAATATAAACCTTGTAATCATGAAGCTTTAAGAAGAGCACTCTGAATCTTGAGAGCAATTCTCTGAACAGGGTTGGAAGTTGTCAGGGCCTAAGAGCTATAACAGCTATTAGGGCAGAGATCATGGTGGTTTGACTCACCAGCATGTTTCAAGCCATGATCTGGAGTTAGTATGTTATTGACTCCTCTAAGGGGCTTTATGTTTGGAGAAAAAGTAATGAAGGGAAGCATAATTTTCTAGGTAGTTCCATATGATGTCAAATCAAAGATTCTCAAGAACAAAATTCAGAGATGCTGGACTAAGTTGGCAAAGATCATGTTCCAAATGGCAAGTTAAACTAAGTGACAAAAAAATTGAAGGCCATTTAAAGTAGGATCCTGCATTAATTTAAAGATAAATTTATCTTCTTTAAATGAAAACATGTATTCCTGTTATGTGTATACCCTTTATTCACTATTTTACTGATTTACTTGTTTCTCCCACTGGATGCTCAAATTAATGATTGATAGATATTGAATTGACAAGACTGGTGGTAGAATTCTAGTGAATCACCACATAGTTTTTAATGTTTTTGAATTTCTGCAATAGTTGCTCACTTTTGTGTGTATATGTTATTGGGTTTTGTTTTTTTTTTGACTGGTTATACACTTACATAGGTGTTTTAAGTATTGTTAACTAGTTTTGTATTCTAATAAAACCTTATTTATCCAAAGAAACATAGTATTCTGAATCAGTAGAAAGGGTGTTTCCAAAGAATTGTAGCTTATTGGTCATATACTTACTATAACATAGTTTTAAGCCAATGACTGACTTTTCTAAGGTAAAGCCCTGTGGTTCTAAATTTCTGTGGTCCTCATATAATGAAGTGATATAATCTATTATTACATACTGCCATTATGATATCAGTATAATGATTAGCACATGTGTCTATGTTAGTAAATGATGTTAAAATGCTTTAAAACAATTTATTCTCATAGCATTTCTCCCTACAATAACGGTGACTTCATTAATTTTCTTTTTACTCATTTCCCATAAGGCAAATACAGTCTAGCGAATTGTCACAAAAGCAGTATTAGCATAGATCCAAGAGTCTAAGGGTCTTTGCATATTACACTATAGAACTCAGATTTAGCTTGGCATGTATGACATTGTTATGAGATATATATTATACTAACAGAAAATAGTTTTACTTCTACCTATACCTTTTACCTGTCATTTTAGAAGTGAATTCGTAGAATCTGTCCTGACTTCTGAAAATAACTGTAGAAGTTATGAGCTAGCTGATTTTTGGCATGTACTTTGATTTGGCGAGTGAGGAAACTCAGACCCAGAGAGATTAGTTGAAACTTTCCAAAGTCCTAGTGCCTGAGCCATGTTTTCTGATTACCCACCAGAATTTTCCACATTGCTTCCCATGTAAAGGATAGAGAATAAAATTATCTTATCAAATAGCCAGGAAGGGTGTTCTGCTGAATTAATTAGCCTGTAGTATCACTGAACTTATGTGTAACATTTTCATATTTCTCTTTGTTGCAGAATGCAAAGTATGGCGAAATCCACTAAATTTATTTAGGGGTGCTGAATATAACCGGTGAGCATTTGACAGCTTGGGGAACAAATGGTTCTGGTTGAGAGAGCAAAGACAGCGGCGAATGTCTTTGCTGGTTCACTTAGGGGTCATTGTCACAGTCTATTTAGGGTTTCCAGTTTTTGGATACTATTGTCAAATGTTTTGATTTTTCTGTTTGATGAATATTTTAGCATTGGATTTGGGATAATATACAAAAATGTGTAGTTTGTAGTATTTTACATTTATTCTTTTCAGTATATATTATACAACCAAGGCATTTTGAAGCTTACCTGGAATAAAGTTATAAAGATGCCACAAAAGTTACATAGGAATTTAGTTTAGCAAAGTAATTAGGGAAGGTTTAGTCAATTTTAAGAGAAAAATACAAAGGAAAATGATTACCTCTTTTCTGCTGATATAATTACTATAGAGAGAATAGGATAATTTTTAAAAATTTTATTTATTAGCAAAGCTATTTTTTAGTATCCAACTAAGTTTTATTTTTCAGTTCCTCTGCAGCTTAATATTTTCTAGGTCTTTCTTTTCTCCCTCAAAAGTGTCTAACCATCTTATTTTCCTTTTACAGGTATACTTGGGTGACAGGACGAGAGCCTCTTACCTACTATGACATGAATCTGTCTGCCCAGGACCACCAGACATTCTTTACGTGTGACTCGGATCATCTGCGCCCCGCAGATGCAAGTATGAAAAACCCTTCAGACAGTTGCTGAGCAGGAGGGTTTTTTTGGTTTGTTTTAAATATCAAGGTTTCTGCTTTTAGAATATCTGCTCTACAAAAATCCCAAATGAATGAAATATTAAATTGCTGATTGTCTAGTAGAACCCAAAATTCTGATACATAAATAAAGCTTTATCACAATGAAGTATCAAAGTAGATATGAGTTCCCTCATTATAATTTAAAACACGACTTAAAAAATGTATCAAAGTTGGATTGGTGTGTTTTGAAGAAATAAAATCTTATATGAAGCTAATTAAATTCTCAGTTGAGTTAGAATGAAGGGCCTTATCTCCTTGATAATATTCTAAGTAGGAAATTGGGATTCACTGAATCCAAATGATTAGTGAATATATTTTAGTGACTTCTCTGCCTATTTGTGGGTTCACTAGCATTGAATGGGGTCATAGCCATGGCTTTTGGAGTCCAGATGTACTTTCCATCCTAGATAATACCTTGTTGAGCATGCATTTCATACTACTTCAGTTCCAAATAATTCTGCTAAACTTTTTGTATTAAACTTAGTCAAAGTAAATAGATGGAAAAAAAATACTTTTTTTTAAAAAAGAATATCCTCTTAAGGAAGTCTGTCCTCTTTTCTTTGAGTTGAAAAGTTACTCTGTCACCCAGGCTGGAATACAGTGGCACACTCATGGCTACTGCAGCCTCAACCTGCTGGGCTCAGGCGATCCTTCTGCCTCAGCCTTCCAAGTAGCTGGAACCACAGGCATGTGCCACCATTTCCGGCTGATTTTCTAATTTATTGTAGAGACAAGGACTCACCATGTTGCTCAGACTGGTCTTGAACGCCTAAGCTCAGGTAATCCTCTCACCTCTGCCTCCCAAAGTGCTAGGATTATAGGCATGAGCCACTGCGCCTGGCTAGGTTGTCCTCTTCAGAAACTGACTTATGCCAGGCTTGGTGGCTCAGCCTGTAATCCCGCGCCTTTGGGAGGCTGAGGTGAGTGGATTGCCTGAGCCCGCGGGTTCGAGACC